ACAGATTGACTCTATAGACTTAATAACAACCAGAAATTATACTTCTTTCTTGTTAATCTAGGGTATGACACTGACTGTCAAATCATAAAATTATTGACTGAGTTTTTGATAGTTATGCTTCTTTTGGATAAACCAGCTGTCTTGTATAATTCCTGGAAAATAAAAATTAAAAGATCAGCACAGCTGTATTGGAAATATATGACCCAGGATTTCGTAGATGTTGTTCCTGTTATTTTATTTTTTTAAGAGACTGGGTCTTGCCCTTTTGGCCAGGCTGGAGTCCAGTGGTGTGATCATAGCTCACTATAGCCTTGAACTCCTAAACTCAAGTGATCCTCTTGCCTCACCCTCTCAAATAGCTGGAACTACAGAATGCATCTCCACCCTGGCTTTCTCTTATTTTAATGTGATATTTTTATTTTATTAGTTGGCATCCAAAAGACTGACATTGTAGAAGTGTGAGCAGTTTCACGTTCACATTGTAAAATTTATGGCCATTTACTTTTTGCAGGTAGGTAGGTTCTCTGAGCACTTCTCTTTCCCGTTTGTTTTTAACTTTGCATGGTCTGTCCCTTTACCATTTGTAACCCTCTTCTTTCCAGCCATCTGCCCTCTTCGTTCCTCAAAACCATGCAGATCCTACCACTAGAACAGCATTCACAGGTGCTCATTCAGACAAGAGATTTCCACTTACCATCTCCTTCTAGTAAAAGTCTCCTGGATCTTCGTTTTCATTATTTTCTTCCTTAGGAATTCTATGTATCAAATCCTTCCATTTCAGGCTCATACAGCAACATGCTTGTCATCTTTAGAATACTAATAAACCCGACATTCTATACATGCTCACATGTTTTTACTCCCATTCTCTCTGATCTGATGAAAGTTCTGTTGTTTTTCCTTAGTATTGTTATCTCCTTGGCACATAGTAACCACTACAAAAAACATTTACTAAATGAATGCAAATAATTGTTTATGGCAGTTAGAACACTACCCTTGACAAGCTCTCTTAAATAGAATTTCTTTTAAAATGCCAAGGCTTTGATCATGATTTTAATGACGGCATTGTTTCTTGGAAGAAAGAGTAATTCTGTGATCAGATGTTCCACATAGTAAATTTGATTATCAGTGTTTACTTTTACATTTGAAATAAAGACTAATGCTTTCTTGGTCATTGTAACAGAAAGCAGAGTCTCTAACAATGTATTATGGAATCTGTTACCCCAAGTAAAATGCACTTGTTGAACTCATTGGATTGATGCCCTGCACAGTTTACCTCCGTACTTCCCAGCACATCAAGATTAATGTCTTCCTTATATGTCAATGCAGAAGACTTAAGAGATTATTTTTAGAACTCCACAGCACTTCTTCCTGTTCCTGACCTTTTCCTTCTCCTCACCCACCCACGCATCTTGTTCTAAAGTACAAGACTCAATACAGAAATTAATCCCTTGGAATTTGCTATGTCACTTCATATTGCAACATTTGCTTTTTAGATTACCAGTTACCACTTATCCTTTCTTTTGGGTGGTCTTTACTAAGTGAGCTGTCTACAAAAAGATGAGTCATCCTGGATGGGTATTGTTAGAGCAGATCATTAGTTCTCCATTCTACCCATCCGATGCTTCCTTTTTCTCCCATCCAAGTGGGGACCACTGATGCTCCCTTTTTCTAACAAATATGCCTAATTCCTTTTTCACTATTCTGAAAAGAAATTTATGGATAATACAATCTATCTATATATATAACTTAAGTCATCTAATGTCTGCACTTAATATAAAGTAGTGCAGTAATGTATAATATTATATGATGCATTTAATCGTGTAAATGCTTACGTATGATTGAACCAGAAGATGTAAAGAAGGAGAAAGATATTTGTTAAGTATTTATAATCACCTTGAATACCATATCTAACAATGGTTTTATTACCACTAATAAGATTTTCCAAAATAGTTAACAGTTAGTAAATTCGAAGTATAGTTTTTCTTAGATACTGAAACATGGCTTCATTCCTGGACAGCTCTGTGTACGTTAAAATATAAGTAGGGGGCTAGGGGAGGGATAGCATTAGGAGAAGTGCCTAATATAGATGATGGGTTGATGGATGCAGCAAACCACCAAGGCACATGTATACCTATGTAACAAACCTGCATGTTCTGCACATGTATCCCAAAACTTAAAGTATATAAATAATAAATATGATATAATATATTTAAATATTAAAATAATACATATAAAATAATGTATATTGGCTGGGCATAGTGGCTCACACCTGTAATCACAGCACTTTGGGAGGCCGAGGTAGGTGGAACACTTGAGATCAGGAGTTCGAGACCAGCCTGGCCTACATGGTGAAACCCTGTCTCTACTAAAAATACAAATACAAAAATTAGCTGGGTACTTGATGTGTGCCTATAGTTCCAGCTACTAAGAAGGCTAAGG